TATTAGGTACATAATTTTAACTTCAAAATTTTAAAATAAATAAATATAAATTTAAGTTTTTGATACTTTTAATTTCTTAATAACTGCTTACGAGAAACATTGTATTTGATTGTCTAAGACTTTGAAAAAAAGGTAATGTACATAAATTAGGAAAAAACTTAAAGAATACAAAATTTAAAATGAACTTCCCTATTTAAATTGTTAATAGCCAAAATATAAGAGGCCAAAATAATAAGAGCCAAAATATTTTGAAAAACATATCATGTCTAAAAAATTCTAAGTTACTTATCTGATAAAGATTCAATTATTTCAAACAAACATTTTTGAATTACAACAAAATAACAAAGTTGATTTCTTAATAACACAATGATGGTATAATAGACATGAATGCTAATAAAATAATAAAAATACTTTAATTAATTTGTTATTTCGTTGGCGAAGCCATAAATCAGCAGCACTCCGGCAGGTGTTTATTATTTTATTTATACTCTATAATATTATTTATATTAGCACTTTTACGTTTCGTTAATTCATAAAATCTCTTAGCCACTGACGTTTGAGTCTTCTTGCGGGATTTCCAGACTAATCATAATTGCACGAATTGTACCTTCTTAACGCCATTGCATATTCTGCAACTGTTAAATATAAATTATTTATAATAGCATTTGAATTGGACAGAAGTATTCAAGTATAAAACACATCTGTCGTATTGCAACAAATTGAAATACTATTTCGTGTTCAGATTATTGCTTTTAAACATAATAATAATAAATCAAACATATGTTATGTTGAACCTATTTTATCGTTATTTTTAATTATTTTAGTAATGTACTTAATCAAAATTTTAAGTAGCTATTAAATAATTTTTAGTAGGTACAGTTGTTAATAAAACTATTGTATGCAGTGTATATTAGCATAATTTAATAAAACACAAATTGTTTTCCAAAAAATCTATACTAAACCTGAAAATCCAGTTTTCAGCTCTTTTATAGGCACTTACTAAAACACGTGAATTAATTAATTAAATCAGATTTCAAATTTTATGTATGGTATGATTAGTCGTTTTTACGCTGTGTAGATACTACACTACGTACAGTATAATAATTTTAATTTTGCACATGCCAATTTAAGGGAAAAAGCCATTACATAAATTTAAATTAAAAATGGAAAAATGGTTTTTATATCTTATATATTTTATCGATTCTGGGAGGAGTGATGAACGTATAACTACTAAACACCTATATTGGTTCTACGAAAATAATTTTTTTGCTCTCTTCGCCTTTTAGAGCTGTAAAAATATTTGAATCATCTACTTTAATATTAGTATCAAGTAGTAAGTTTGAACTACTTCTCTATATGATTCTTTCTCAATACTTTTCAATAATCGGTAAAAGAAATTAACAAAATACCCAAAATTATGAAAATATTTTCACATAACCAATTTTCAACAAATCAATTTTATTATTCAGATGTAAATTTGTAATTTTCTTGACATTTCCATAAAATATTTATTTAATCATTTATTTTTATTTTCTACACAATATATTTAATTTTTAACATATTTTAAGCTATTTATGGATTTTTTAAATTTTTAAATTTTTACGTTTTTTTCATTTATAAAGTCTAAAAGTTTAAAGGTTAATTGATTGAGTCTAAAAACTTGAAAATTCAAGGTCCCTTTAAAGTTTTTTTACAGTAAATTAAATAATATCAAATATGCATTGTTGAATGTTTTTTATAAGAAGGTAAGCTTTTAAAGTTGAAATGCTGACGAAATTCGACTATATCACAAAACTTATAAAATTATTTTATAATTAAAAAATAATTTTATTTTTAATCTATATATCTAAATTAACCTTGAACATTTAACACAAGATTCGTCAAGATTAGATAGGTTTTTATTGTAAAATGTAAACAAATAAGTTATTTGTAATGCACAAATTATTGTGTAAGGCCACAGAAATCGATGTTCAAATTTTGTTGAAATAAAAGAAAATTAAGACAAAAGAGTCATCAAGAGTTTTTGACGAAAAATGAAAATTTTTAAAGGGTTTTTATAAAGTAATTCATACGAATCTTAAAATTAAGAATTTAAAACTCTAACTTGTTAAAGCTAATTATAGACTATATGCGGCTGTACGCATATATTAAATGCAAAGAATTGAACAAAGTTATTAAGTAATACCTATCTCAAAATGTTAATTTTATTTTTAATGTTAAAGAACAACACACGTCCTGTAACTTTAATTATTAGCTTAAAGTACCTATAAGATAATTATTATTATTTACCATCTAAATATATATTTGATCCTGTACCCAATGTCACTGGCATTACCTTCATTGTCTTAACAGTGATAAAAACAAGTATGAAAATGTTTTCAAATTGAATATTCAACCTTGGCAATCATTACATTGTAACAATTGACAATAAATTGATATATTGATATCCATATGGTATTTTATCCGTATACACTACATTGACATAATAACGCATTCAATGTTCGGCGGCAGTGGTGACGCCTATGTATGAATGTAATGTATATAAAATATGCTATATAGTAAATGTATTTACTACTAAACTAGTATCATTTGGTTTTTGTTAACTTTATATTTTCTAATGGTTTTTTTTGTACATTTTACTCATGTTATTATAATATTCATTGTTACAACGTACTTCAACGGAAGGTCCAGAGGTGTATTTAGGACTTTGGGACTTTCGCGAAGGGAGGGAAAATAAAATTGTTGGTGGCCCACATTGTTTAATTATAACAATTTTTTTGTTAAACTCTTAATTAGATTATCTGTTGCAGATTTAATTAATGAGTTTTATGTTAAATTGATAAAATAAAAATAATAACAATATTACATGAAAATAAAATAATGAAGATGTCTCCTAATGGAGGTAGGCAGGTACTTCATATAAATAACAATAACAAACGCAATAAATTAAAGTGAAATTAGATATTTCTTAAGACTCAAAATACAAAAAAAAACATTGGAAATTTTCTTTTTGATGCATAGTTCTTTAATAATCTCGTCTGCACTTATTTATTCTATTCGGTGTGACATTCGGAGGCGGAGGTTAACCCATTCAGTAATACAAAACATTATTAACTTAACAAACTAATAAAATAATGTATTTTACTGTGTTGTTTTAATGACTTACCGTAAAATCAACTTTTCAGTTAGAACTGAGGTAAGAACCAAAACGAGTACTGCTCGAAAATGTATGTATATAAATCTAATAAAAATGTGATAACAAATTAAGCATGATAATTCTGATGTACCTATATTGTGTATTATTATTTAGAGGTACAATAATAATAAGAACTCGTATTTACTCAAAATGAAAGTAAAAGTAATTTATTTTAGATTAATAATAACAAAAATGATCATTTCAACAATCAAATTTAATACTCATACTAGCTATTATCGGTTCTAATTGTAGAAAGTATATTCAACATCATTTGTGACAAAAAAATTGAAAACTTATACTAAGAGCGCCATCTTACCATAATTACAGAGACTACATACTATTTAAAAAATGATAACATGTAATTTTTATAGTATAGAATTTCGGTGTCTGAATCATGTGACAATTTTTTATGTTTATATATTTTTCACTTTTAATAATTATAAGTAGATTATAGACATTTTTTATTTTATTAATAAAAAATACCCACGGTGACATAGGCCATTGCGAAACAATATAAGTAGACTTAATTCTAATGATTGAGAAATATATAAAATATAATATTGGCTAGCTTACAATTATTAGGAACGATATATATAGTATGTTACAAGTGTGTGTATGTTTTTTATAATATATACAGTTTGTTTTGTAAATTCGCTTTTTTGAAAAAATCGACGCTGGCTATGAGTGGGGTATAGAAGATTATAGTGATACTACGCTAGTAAATGGTTATTATTTATGCAACAAATAAATACCATTTTTTTTTTTTTTGTATCTATCATTTTACCATCCAGCTTGAGTTTTATAAGATTTTAGTCAACAATTGTAGTTGAACGACCATAAATGATTAAAAATTAAAATAAAATATGATTGTAATATATATATTCAACTAATTGCCCCAACCGATTTCAAGTGGGCATATTTATGTTACTGTTTTGAGTTATAGTGTGTACAAATTTAAGATATTTTTTAAGGACGTAATCCCTATAAAAATATGATTCGTCGATCATTACACTTCACCATAATATGCACAGCATAAGTACCAGTTGACTACTAGTCTATCTTCGTACCCAGATATCAATGCATATTAGTTAATATATAGGACATAGCTATGTGTATTAGTATTTAAAATAATATGACTTATTGACACAAAATATAAAATATATATTTTTTATATTGAGGAAATTGAATCTCTCAATATTACCAAAAAACCTGGTGCACATTGGACGTGTCAATTTACCAATAGATAACAGTTGTCTATAGTTTATATGGCATTTATCAACAAAAATATTTTTAAGAGTTTGTTCAGCCACACCTACTAGACGTTGTTCAAACCATTCTTTAAATATTCCTATTATCTCTAACATATCTCTATATATTATATATTATAAAGATCAAAAAATAATTTTACACTATAAAGCCTAGAGGTATACATGTTTTCTATTAAAATATCATTAGCTCCGCCATACACTAAAATTATACACGTTTGTGGGATATTAATTATTTAAATTTAGCTACTTTAAAATATAAAATTAAAAAAGGCAGGACACATATGGGTCGTATATTTTGACATAAGCATAGAATAATAATTTGGAAATCGTCTTCTTTCGCTTACCTTGGCAGAAGTTATAGATGTAAAATTACCGAAAAAATAGTTAACTTTAGCCACTGCAGTGTTTGTAATTACTACATAGATATCGTTGGTTTTTCCTTGATAATCTCGTAAAATTGTTTTTTGAACAGAAATAAAATAAAAACGCAATTGTTTTGTTTTTTAAAAACACATTATATTGTATATATTATATACGTACGTTAATGTCTGCAAAGAGACGGTAGTAAATGGGTAGTAATATAATATAATTATACACAGCAATATAAGACATAACAATAATTAATGTACAACGAATGGCGTGGGTGCAGTGCACAATATACAATGACGATCCGATGCAGAGCGTCATGTAAAATGGAAAGGGTGAGACGAAGAATGATAGTATAGTTGAAAAAGTTTATATAACATTAATGTAGGACGAAAAGAGCGGGGCTGTTCTCAGGAGACGTTCACTGGTACTGGGGTTCGGGTGTGCTGGGCAGAGAAGCCAATAATTTGAGAGACTCTTGGATCTCAGCTGGGATTGGTGGTGAAGTCGGCAAATGGGCGCCGTATGGATGGTAACCGAACTCGTCAGCGGTGTAACCGAGTGAGATGATTGAACCATCGGGGGCTTGGTAGGAATTTGCTCCCTGGACAATTGAGATGGGGCCTTCGGGTCCAGCTTTTGCGTAACCGACTTCTTCTTGTTTGATGCCGTTATCGGTTTCGAATCTGCAAAGATTCAATTTTCGTCATCATGTATAATATATTATGAATTATAATTATAATTATTGTGCACACGTGTCGTTGCGTAACCACAGCACGAACACACACACATTCAGAGTTTCAGGTCGGAATCGTCGGAACATTACCGATAGTAACAATAATCGTACGTTTTCGGTGAAAGGCGTGAGACACTCCGCGTGACTTAAGACCTGAGGGCTGAGATACACATAAATCACAAACAAATCGAATGTTGCGAAACGAGAAAAATAAACGATCGATTTGGAAATTTATATTGATATTAAATAAGCGCGGGAAAGGCTGACCGCGAAACGAGTATCCGTTTTGCCTACTTTGAACGCCCTTTTTACATTAGCGTACAGCCGCAGTTTGTATCACAACCGTACCCGCATAATATTGTCATTAATTCATAAATAAATGTATGTGTAATGATATATGATACCCGGCAGCTTAAATTTGCCCTTAATTACTACGATCGTAAGTGGAAATTATGAAATTCGTTCGTTTTGCCAATTACATGACATAACTTCTACACCTATATCTATACGACTATTAACTATTAAGTACACAAATATTTAATCATTTTCGAGTACTCTGGCTTCTCGTGTAATATTATAGGTAGGTACTTACTCAGTGTACCTACATTATGTAAACGAATTTTTGTTTTAGCGAATTCACGCAATGTAGACCGAAGGCGATTCGCCGAGTCACTACTGCAGAGATACTTGTAACGTCGTTACATAAACTGTGTGTACCAAACGAAAAAAATTTAGAACATCGTAGGTAATATATTCGGCGTTGTATTTCAAGATTGGTGGCTTATACGAGCGTAGACTACGTTTACATGGTGACGTTGAAACGGTTTTTTGAGTCCACGGAGGCTCTACTAACAGTTTGAGTTATTCTATTTAGAAGTATAAAATTATTCGTAGGTTTTAAACCGTTTGAACTTCGCCACGCAAGCGCAGTGATACAAACGTGTTGTTGATATATACAAACGCGCCAACGAAATACGTTGCCCACTAAAACATAAATATTGTTCGGCCATAGTCGCAAACGATTATCACGAAATATAATATTAAGACCGATGACTGATTTTTTGACGTTTTAAAAACTTTCAAATTATCGGCAACAATCTCGGGGTGAGTGTTCAAAAACAAAACCAACAATTTTTGGCTCGTTTGAATTTCATTAGTCGTACGTATATAGAAACGCAACTGGGAGATCAATACATTCTACAAAAGTATTGTAGGTACACACACATAAATATTTATATATATATTAGGATATAGTTGTGACGATGGTGTCGTCAAATATATAATATTGATGAGGTAAAAAACATATTTCGAAGACAGCTCCGACAAAATTCTAACATTTAAAACAATTATTACTATCGCGGGACCGACAACGAAAAACTTTAATGTATCAAGGCAATATAGTTATATCTCATACTTGTTCTTGAAGTTTCCGTCGAAGTTGACTTCTTGTTCTTGACGCAGGATGGTGGCCTTAGATTCGGGACCTTGGGCGGGGTAGGCGTTGACGGCAACGGCCAACAGCAACGATGAGAAGACTAACGCGACCTGTTGATAACGCCAAACGCGATATCCAAAACATTAGGTACCGTGAGAATTCGTCGCGGAGACTCAGTAGAAAAAAATGTTTAAGTCTTACCTGCATTTTGGTGGTTTGTGGTTGTTCGTCCGTGTGCAAAATTGTACAGTGTTCGACTGAGTACCGTGGCACTGTGTGTAATGATTGAGGATAATATGATGGAGCTGTCTTATATATCATATGTACCCATGTGAATCCACACACGGCAATAATGACGGGGGTACCTGTTTAATGTTCACCATATAATAATGGAGGCGGTACCTGCCGTCGAGATGGAAAGGTCGTTATGTCAGTGGGTTATGAAAGCGGTCCGACGACATTTGTTTTAGCACGGGCGCGCTGTGGGAGATTGTGATATACACACGTTTCAAAAAAATAAGAATATACACGCGTATACTTACACACACCCACTCTCACTCTCGCACACACACACACACACACACACTTATGCGCGCGCGCGTGCGTATATTCAAAATAGGTAATAAAAGTGTTGGATAGAATAATTAATAAGGGATTTGCCTAAAGTCAAATGTGACTACGCTCCTCGGTATAGCAACAATAATTTTGTCCATGAAAAATAATTGGGTTTCTATATTTAAAAAACCTTCCGTTTCGAATAGTCGATAATCCTGAAAATGGGCAACAATCGAACGCTGTAATAATAATCATTTATGATTTATGTTACAGCAATCTGGAGAGGAACACAAACATGTTAGAGGTTACAATGGGTACGTCAATAAAAATAATTTTAAAAAATCCAAGTTATTATTCTACAGAAAATGTATTTAATGATTTTAATATTTGCCCCTTGTTCACTGTAAAATAAATGGCAAATTTTATATTTTATGGAATAATTGATATTAGAATAATATAACGATAACGACAATAAAATACAGTGAAATTTCTATCGAACAAAGTTCCATCTAACAAGACTTTCTGTTTAACTAAATATTTTTGAGAACCAAATTGTTTCAATTCGTATATTTGACAAATTTCTGTAAAATACAAATTTTCGTAATACTAGTGAGGTTTGACTTATACTACTTATTTATTTAAGACAAATATTTATTTGATTTATGAATTCAACAATAATTAAGATGGATGTAGTAAACAAGTAGAAAAATAATAATATGATTCTAAATATGATATGATATATTATCTTATATTTATTATATAATATAATATATACATATGCAAACAAACAGTTTTTCATTACATTACACACATCTTCTTTAAGCTAATTGCTAAAATTGAAAATATTGAATTATTAATTCTTTTAATTTTCTTAAGGTATTTGAAAACTTGTATTATAATTTCATGAACTGGACCTTTACAAATACATACATATACATACTTATATTAACAGTAAAATTAAATTATTTAAAAACATACATTATTCAAAGTTGAAAGTTCATCAATATTATAAAAAAGAAACTAAATTTAAAAAAATGTTTATGGTTAAAATAAACCACCATTCAATGAAATCATTATTTATGATATGTGGAACAGATGCAGCTACTCGTTTAGTTCTGTAGATGTTGAATATCAATTGACATGACGACATCAGATTTATTTTATTATTAATATGCTTATTAAATGTACACCTTGTCTGTATACCTGCCATATTATTAACTTACAACCTACTTCGGGTCTCATTGTATAGATGGTTTCTTTCAAATAAAAATTATAAATACCTACTAGTTACAATACACCAGTATTATATTAGAATATTAAATTACCTATTGGCTATTCAATATTAATTCATTGCCATTCATTTACATCTTACAATGAAATATATAAGTTTAAATTTTGAACATTTATACGTAATATTTTTATGATATACTAGATATTTATCAATATGCGTCAAATACAGTGTCGTTAAAAAAAATCTATCTTTTGTAAGTATTATTAGTTACATAAAATGTTTTAAATTATAAATCGTTGTTAAAATATTAAGACAAATAAAATTCTTAGAAATTATATTACTACCAAGATTTCCCTACCATTGACAACTATTTTTAAAGTAATTTTATTGTAAATCAGATGAAAATTACTGACGATTTAATATTATATAAATTACTATATTAAATGAAGGACATAAATATATTAATACAAGTATTACAATTATTATTTAAATTTATTTGTGTACGTCATGTAAATATTTTAACCGTCAACACTCATTATTCCGTATAATATTAACGTTATTATTAATTAATTACTTTAATTTATTACTAAACAACATTTAACTATTTTTCGTATTATTGTTTTGAATGCCAATCCAAACTTTTTTTTTTTACATCCCGAATTTCCGAAACAGATATTTATTTGATCATTTTGATTTTTAAATTGTAAAAATAATATTTTACTTTAGAATATGAAATTTAAAAAAACGAATGAGTGGATATCGCTCTGCTCTACATTGTGTGTCTAGAAGGTCGTAGTAATAGATGGTATTAAAGTTAAATTCAATGATATAAAATCATTGCATACGAAAAACGATTCTGAGTATGTCAGTCTAGGATATTTTATATTGTTATTACTTATTGTTAATACGGTAGCCGGTAAGTAGAATTAATATTATTCTTGAATTATCAGTGATGCTGGAAAAATATTATGTATACTTATGAAAAATTTGGCTGTTTTTGTAACCAAATTACAACAGAATGACTAAAATCGTTATTCTTTGTGTTAATATGTAATTTCCTCTACATTTTAACTTAAAATAACTATAAAAAATCTGGGTTTACGTTTATTTTTAGATTTTTTGGTTACAGAATTAACTACTTACATGGAATCTTGTCAATCTTGTCAATCCTTCGCTATAAAATTTGAACATTTAATACATTTTTAACTACAAAAATATCATTTTTCAATTTGAGAAATGTTGTCAAAATTTGAACTTTAAATGATTGTAAAACAAAAACGAGCGTTCATTTTTAATATTTTTCAATTGATATTGTAATAATATATCAAGAGTCGTGTATTACATTTTCACGATTTTTGACCCAACAAATAAAATTTTATTGACTTTTGTAGAAAAAAAAATTAATCAAAAATTAATATTGAAAATGTACTTTAGCAGCTCACAACAAGTCAAAATATTTTGAACACTTTATCAAGTATATGAATTGATAAAATAAACATATGGCGTAAATTTCAAGTATCTACAGTGATTTGTTTTTGAATTACAACAAAATAAGAAAATCACCATATGAGAAGTCTAGTCAATGTTGTACAAATTTCAACTTCAAATGCTCTTAAAAATGTAATTTCACTTTCCGGTAGAATTTTTTTTTTTTTATATATGTGGACAAAAATTTGTATGTTATTTTCTAACTTAATATAATATGCACATTTTCTTTAAGTTTATCGAAACAAATAATCAAACATTTCATATATGCCTGTAAATAGTTCAACATGTATCAAAATATTTTGAAAATTGTATGGTGTATAGAATATACTAACAAAAATATTCAGTGAAAATGTCATGTATCTATGGTCATTTTTTTTTTTTATAGTTACACTAAAAACCAAAATCGATTTTTTCAAAAACTGGTTTTACTTAAATATTCCCGCTTTTCCTTCATTTTTTGTTTGTTTTTCCTGTCGCTTTTGAAAACTATTGAGAACTCTCCCGAATGCCCCAACAAGATTCACTTTCCTACAAGAAAAGTTGCTGTTTAAGAAAATCGAAGCACTTTTACTGCCCCAATTCGTGATGACAGACACAAAAATTTAATTGATAAACAAAAAAAAACACGTCATTGTAAAATCAATACATTCATCTCTCCGCTGAGAATCTAAAATGAAGTTGTTACTTAAAAAAATAAAAACCATACATCGATAACAGTAGTAATAAATAGGTACATTATTTTTTTTTTTAATATGATTCAAGAATAAATTTGAACTTTGAAAAAAAACTTTTTACTTTTTGATTATATTATGACTAATATGTTCTTATTTAGTATTTACTATTTATAAATATCATAATTACGTTAAATTAAAAAAGGTCTTTATATAAAAGACCATATTAATTTTGAATAACAAATAGCACTGAATATTTTTTTTTTAAATACTTACATATTTTAAAATATTTACTACACTGAATTTCATTTAAACAGGATAGGTTGTGCAAGTACAAGAATTACAGTTGAATAGATTATAATTATACCCATGTATCCTTTATAAGGTAATTAATACCTATAACTGAATTGTATAACTGTATAGTATATAATATAACTGAATACTAATATTTAAATTAATCTTAACATATATTAACTTACTGAAAAATTAAAAGGTTTAAAAATTATATTATTTAATTTTAAAAAACTCATGTAATAAATATTAATCCACCACTACAATAATAATTACATATTAAAATTCCATGTTTGTATTTTGTATATTATTCAAAATAATTTGTATATTATCTACTATTTATTTATTTTATTTTATACTCATACTTTGTAAGCTATAACAATTACTCATACTTACAATACTGTGATGACTATAAAACAATAAAAATTAAATTGCATTATTTATTACATATGTGTTATTTTCGTCAGTACACATTTTACAGTTTACACTAATAATTATTAGTTGTTCATACTTTTAATCTGTTAATAAACTATCTCTTACTAAGTAGCCTATTAAAACAAAATAATATAGAGACTTATCATTCTATAGATGTGTTATTGTTTATTCAGTACGGATAGATAAAATTGAATTCTAATCTGCACCTAAACCATAATATTATATATTTGTCCTATTATTATACTAAACATAAACACAACAAATACAAGTACAACTTTCATTTTGCCAGAGAACAACAAAACCTTCTTTAGTATCATAATATATTTACATATTATTATAATATGTGTTATTATATTGGGCGATATAAACGCAAGACTGAAATGGTAACAATTATCACCATATGTCTCCAGCTTGTCACAGATGACACTTGTTTTACTTCTTATAGGTGTGTCCACGACCATGAACGATTTGACACTCGAGTTAATTTATACAAGATTACATAAGTGAAGCTACAACTATTAGATCAATATGAGCTGTTGAGCAGTATTGTTCATACCGATTAGTTGATTTGGAGACACACATGATGTATGTAAAAAGAAAGGTGGATGTGTAATGTGTATATTGTGTGTCATAAGTACAAGGCGTTTTTTATACAAAAATAAATTTTTATTTAATTAAAAAAATAAAAATTGTATGAAAATACTATAAATTATTTGAATTTAAATTAATGGAATCATAACTGAATTTAATAAGCCGATGCACTGGGAGGCTTTTTGTAAGCTGATGCACTTTGGCTTTGGTAACCTTGTGGTGACTTATACAATTGACTGGCGGAGGAAGATTGTCCGTAAGATTGTTCACTTGCTTCCGCACCATATCCAGATGGGCCCTGTGGTTTTTGATAGCTTGGTTGTTTTGGTGCTGAAGTGGATGATTGTCCGTAAGAGCTGGGGGCAGAAGTCTGTCCGTAAGATCCAGAAGCGGATGTTTGTCCATAAGATCCAGGAGCGGATGTTTGTCCGTAAGATCCAGGAGCAGAAGTCTGTCCGTAAGATCCAGAAGCGGATGTTTGTCCATAAGATCCAGGGGCAGATGTCTGGCCATAAGATCCAGGAGCAGATGTCTGGCCATAAGATCCAGGAGCAGATGTCTGGCCATAGGCACCTGATTCTTTTCCATATGAAGACGAAGCACCATTTTGTCCATAAGTAGACTGTTGTTGTTGGTATGCTTGTTGTGCAGCTTCCTCGGCGGCATTCTGTTCTAACGATTGAAGAATTTCAGCTGGTATTGGTGGTGGTGTAGGTAAATGAGAGCCTTTGGGAACAAATCCATTTTCATCAGCTGTGTAAGTCACTGTAATGAGTTGTCCATCTTCTCCGGGATAACTGAAAGATCCATAGACAGATTGAATACCTTCTGGGCCACCTGGCTTAAGTTGACCATACTCAGATACAGAAATACCATTGCCGGTTTCGTAACTAGAAAAATATTTATGTTATTAAATGGTTATTATTGATTATTATCTTTAAAATATTACCTGTATGAGTAAGAACCATCACCAAGATTTGGTTGGTTAGACTGAGACAGAATAGGGATAACTTCAGGTGATCCAGCGATGTTGCCTGGTGCAAAAGCGTTGTATCCATTATTACCTGGCTTGTAAGGATCGACTGGTGCACTAACGGGTGCACTTGGTCCTTTAACCTCAGGTGGTCCGGCGATATTGCCTGGTGCAAAAGCGTTGTATCCATTATTACCTGGCTTGTAAGCATCGACGGGCGCACTTGATCCTTTAACACTTTCGTATTCAGATCCAGATTTTTGGTATAATGTAGACGATACAGGTTTCGGGCGGGAACGTTGGCCATATGATGATTGAGAGGCTTGTGATTGGTATTGTGATGATGGTGCAGATGACTGGTATTGTGATTGCGATCCAGATGATTGGTATGATGGTGCAGCAGTGGATTTTGAACCGTACGATGCGGATGAAGGTTGATAACTGGATTTTGCACTTTGTGAATATGTCTGTGCAGCTGGTGTAGATTGATAAGAAGAAGCAGCAGTACCAGATTGGTAAGATGCAGCACCAGACTGGTAATTAGATTGTCCAGCTTGAGAGTATAGCTGTGAGTTCAGAGCGGAAGATTGGTAAGACCCAGAACTAGATGGGTAACCAGACTGTGCACCTTGAGAGAATGCTGGTGATGCTGGAGCCGATTGGTATGAACCAGCACCAGATTGGTAACCAGACTGTGGGTTTTGCGAGTATGATGATACAGCTGGAGCAGATTGGTAAGATCCAGCGCCAGACTGATAACCTGACTGTCCAGCTTTTGAGTATTGTAAACTTGCTGGAGTGGACTGATAAGAAGAGGCACCAGACTGGTAGCCAGACTGGTAGCCAGACTGTGCACCAGATCCTGCGCCAGATTGGTAACCAGAGAATGCATTCGTTTTGTATGCGGGGGCTGAGGTTGATTGTTGATACGATCCAGAAGTAGATTGATATCCAGCAGCTCCGCTACCTTGATATCCAGTTGGAGATCCAGATGAGTATGCTGAAACTTCAGGGGATTTTTGGTAACTACCAAAATTTCCTTGATAAGGTGAAGGAGAAGAAGGTGTGCCCGGAGATCCATAACCAGAAGATGCTTCAGACTCATAGCCTTGTGGATGAGCCGCCGCAAAAGCGACAAATGCAATAAATAAAAACTGGAAAACAATTTTTGATACACATTAAAATATATTTTAGTATAATAACAAAAATAACACATATTGTATACATAATTATACTTTAAGTATAAATTAATTTTAAAAATCCTACTGTCTGATACACTTATCAAAATTAATATTTACCATAGACTACTAAAAAACATAGAGAAATCTTACATCGTTATCAATAAAAATGTTTCCAGTTAAAAATATTGATATACTATAACTTTTTTAATTTATTTTTAAATTTATTTCTGACAGTCAAAAAGTTACGAACAAAGTTAGTTGGTATTTAAAAAAATTACTCATTTTGTATGCTTGCAATATTATTTTAATAATCAAACTATTTATGAATTAAAATTCCATTTTTATGCAATTAGACAATTCTTAAAATAATGTTTACACATTACTAATTACTTTATTTTTTAAACAATTTAATTTCTGAACTTGATCTATCTGAAAAATTTTATTAGCCGGTATTAATGAATAATAGTCTAGTCTAGAAAAGGTCATTAAAAATAGTAATCAATGAATTCCAGTATACGGTTTAAAATGTTTAAATAAAAAAAAACAAATTAAAGTGTTTGTTGTATACATAAATTTAATATCCTTCTTGGCTACCTACCTTCTTAATTATAACTTTACATTATATATATTATGATTATAACAATGTGTAGCTACAAAAAATTAATAAAAATGTGAAATTTCTATAGGTACCTATTAAATAATATTTTAAGTAAAATAAAATATGCACATATAAAAAAAAAATACCAATAAAACATTTTTTTGTCTTATGCTAATATAGTCAGTTTATTTATAGTATTAAAATATTAATAGTAATTATTAAATAGAGGGTTTAGGATAGTATAATCATCTTAGTGTGTATGTTTTTTAAAATTTATATTTTGAATAAATTGTTTTTGCATGCGATTTGAATACCTACCTTAATTTAAATATTTAACCCAACAGCGATATTATTGAAATAAACAATAAGCAAAATATAAACAATTGTATGCGTTTAAAATCCATTGAATTTTATAAATCCTACTCTACTGGATGAATTCAAATTTCACCACAGAAAAAAATACCACAATTTATTTGTATGTTCATTTCGGAATAGCATAATTCTAAAAACATTTAATTATGTATTTAATTTTTGTTCTACTATGGGCCATAAAAACTTTCAAGTAAAGTTATCTTAATCGTAATTATTTTTATAAAAATTGAAGAGAGTAAACGAATTAATTTTAAAAAAAATTCTTTAAAGTATGTGGCTGAAAGTACCTATGTAAAATACGTTTAATGGTTATCTTTCAACGAGTTATACACAGGCTACAAGACTATACTATAGAAACTAAGTGTTAAGACTTTAAAATGTCCGGTTTTTATAATAATAACTCAAAACCAATTCTTTTAATGTATAACTGTTTGTTTCAAGCAGAAAACTTTACCGTAATGTGAAACATTATGAGCATAAGTATACCTAGGTACACTACTACACTATAAGCACAATAATGTTCAGCGAGAAGTACGGTGTACGTATTATTGTATGAAATGGCTGCAAACGAACGACGGAATATATTTCGCGTTTTTACTTCCTGTTTACGAGAACCGAGCACAACACTGCAGTTAAGATTATAATATAAAATTATGTTTGAAAATATGTAATGTGCCCGTACGCTAAGGAGTAGCTGCCGTGTAGGTGTTCCGGCGGTACTATGCATACGTACCCACGTGTGTTATTGTAATACATTGAATATAATAATATTGCTTACCATCTTCATGTTGTCGGTGCGAAATTGCTTGTATGGTGTGTTGTACTCGAAGTCGCAAGTCTCTGAAATCCAATAGACGACGATAACTGAACTGACGATGGATCGGTACCCGACGTCTATATATATGACGATGAGTCGGGACGATTGCCGAATAGCAGCTATGGTATACGGTTCGCTAGCGCGAAGGAGGTGATGTTCGGCGGCGGCGGCGGCAGTGGCGCTGCCCCTACCCCGGTGACGCCCTGTGGCCAATCCGATTTTGACTTGTGAAGAGAGTAATGTAATTTTTTTTATTACGATTATTATTATGATTATTTTTTATGACGTGCCGCCGACACGACGACGTCGGCCAAAGACTAATTAGAACGGCCGCGCGCGCGCGTGTGTGTGTGTGTGTGTGTGTGTGTGTGTGTGTGTGACAGGTGTAGGACGATAATATAATAATATTACATATGTGCGTACCAATATCGCATAATAATATTCTGCCTTGATCATCCGATTGATCAATGGGTATATGATGTCTGACGACGACAGCTCATATATGACCCAGTTCGATGCTGCTCACGATGATGACACCAGGCCGTTTTTTTATGATTTACACGTACACTATATACCTAGTGCGTACTATATACACCACGCGCGTGTTAGAGGATTGCCTCGGCCGTGGATAATCATAATGATATGATCGTCGACGCATTCCGATAACGCCTGGGTGATCGATAAACGTATTCAGTCGGATATTTTCACGGCTTGGTGTTTCGGAACGTGGCTCAAGTCGCCAAAATATGTTATCAAAAATAACGGTCTTAATAACGACTTGGCAGCCCACATAATATTATTATCTCGCCCACGGCCCATGTCGACCGGAACGCGCAAAAATGATGTTTGTTTGTATTTTTATTTCAATTCGTAGATCGTAGCCAGATTAACCACGCCATAACGATTGGAAAATATGTATTTCAAGTATAATATGCAGACTGCAGCGTATTTATCGACTTTTCGTGAGGTAAACAAACCATAATATAGTGATATTTAAATTAATTTATTTCTTATTCTCTCTATTTTTAAACTTTTAATGAGTGGCAACATAATATTATAATAATATTTCTCTTTTTTCTCGTTAACAAACATAACCAAACGCTCATTTATTAATTTGATGAGAAATCGAAATGTTGATGTTTTGTTTTTTGCAAAAGTTTTTGTAACCATTGTTCTTTTTTGGAGTACCTATGTGGCTATGTCATAGTACTAGTGTAATATAAAATATATGAGTATAATGTTACACAATAAGGATGGTTGAAATAAAAATGCAATAGTTGCACACTGACGATGGCTTTTCGAAAAACTTATTTCCATGCGAATGGATCTGATTTCGTATTAACGCATTTTAAAAACCGGTTACATTAGTAAGTTATTAAATCAGAGATGTCAATGTATGATAATCGGTAACATGGAAACGATTATTTAATAAAATAATATCATAATATTATAATATTGCCATAGAAACGATAGTTTCCGGTTAAATAGGCATTGTCCTGGTCGAAATTCTTAGGCTAATCAATCGTATGTGCATACTATAAACACAAATCTGTTTGGATCTTGCATACATTAAAACGATTCATTTCCACCCATTAACCTGATAAAAAAACACATTTTCGTGGAAATACTATGATATATGAAATTTGGACGTTTGTGTTTTTTGGAAAATATAAATTGATACAATGTATATAATATATTATGCCATAGGTACTATGTACAAAAATGATATGAATGATATAAACACGAGCACTGTTCAATGCTCACACACATATTATAGTAACTTATAATAACCTCTTCGAAGCAACTTAGGTGTAATAGCTGTAGACATGTCATATTAGCAGTTGGTGATTATCCTAATGATTTCTACTACACATGTATAATGGTACTAACGTCTTTCAATTAAGATCGTAAATAAAAGGAAATTACATAGGTCATAGATTAATTTTATTATTATTGTCGACCGGGCAAAAACAAATTATTTTAACAGACACTGTAATCGTTAAGCCGAACAACACAGACAATAATTCATGTTTCACATCGAAATAATACTTAAATAATGCGGTCATTTTTTTCAAATTACCAAAAAACATGTATTTTCACATTAACAATTTAATGTTAAATCACGGATACTATATTCTTCTATTTAAAAAATCAGTATGAATATTATATAGCCGTGGCCTTCAATCTCGGCCCTAATCTCGCTTCGCCCATATATCGACGAAGGGTAGAATATATTTTATCTGTATAGTATAGGTACTGGTACTTTTAAAAATTGAAATGAAAATGCACTGCACTAAAAAAACGATCCTTAGTGGAGTATAATTTTAGATAGCTATTGACAGCTTTTATAAGGTACTTTTAGAGTTACTACATTGAGAAAATTACACCTACAAAATATCACAACTTCATTGTGTTTTTTATTTGTGAATTCTAATGCAACTTTTGAAACATTTCTCTGACCTAAAAATGTTCACTGAAAAATGTAATAAAAATAAACATTATTGTAAGATTACGCATACCTACATTTCTTTAAATTATATGAAATAATGTATAACTATATAAGTACCCATATAACTCACTATTATAGGCTCTGCTAAACACGAAAACTGATAACCATAAAGGGATAAGATGAAAAATAGCACAGTCCCAAATCCACGCAATAATTATTTCGCTTGTATTTATTAGTGAGCACGGACTATACGTACATCTTAATATACAAATATTTTTAAATTTGATAAATATTTATTAATTTGATAATATTTAATCTTTATACAGATATTACAAAAACAAGTGGCTTGATGGGTTTTTATTATAAGATTTCAGGTTACTTAAAAGATTTAAAATAAATTACTTATTAATACAAACATTTTTTTTTAATTTGTCTATGACCTACAACTTTACATAAGTACGCATATTTCAGTTCCATGCGCATCATTATCAATCAAGAATATTACTCATTCTTCCGGCACAATAACGTGATCAATGGCAATTACGTCGATGATTATCATCACTAATATAAAAAGCTTAAGGATAGCATTGAACAAATATTACAGGTATGGAACGTATTCAAATTATATTGCGAATTGACGATGACGTAATATTACCTGTTAGATACATAAAGATAGTTTTAATTACTGTTTAAAATTAAGTGAAATTCTGATGTTGGAAACGCACCGAAATGGTGGCAGGAGTTCTAAAATCTTTCGAGATAAAAGGACTTCTCGCGATTATTGTTGAAGCATAGAAAAATTAAACATAAATCAGTTCGAAAGTTACCTTCGAAATCGCGTGGTCAATTAATCAATAAAATAAATATATCAATAAATATATATATTATATATAATATATCAATCTTAGAAATATTATTTACAACAATATTATACGATGGTAGGATTAAGGTTAAAAGTTTCAGTGCAGAAATGTATTTTTTCATGTCAACTACTCAACTCGATATGGATATTTTACCGTGAAAAGTCGTGACATAAAAAAAATTAATCATTAATAAACACTTATGGGATTATTTTTGATATATCCTCCTCGATCATTACCGTTCTCTATAGTACACCGAAGGTTTTAATTTTTACGTTTTATGCTTTTACAAACTAAACTCATTTTAACTGCAAATAGGTACAACTCAACACACTTTGCACAACAAATCAGCTACAACCGTTTCGTATTTTATAAATTGGTATAATTTTACATCCATATGCATTATACATATTACATATATTTATATGCTTGAGCACAATATTATAACCAACCTTTTGTCATATATTTTTTTAAATAACTTAATTCTTGTTTTATAGATTAAAAAATTTCGTATTACTTCGTGTTTCTAATTGCTTCAATACATTATTGCGATGAGGAGTTTGAGTATGAACTTTAAAATAATAAATACATGAAAACATTGAAATGATGTATTTTTATGAATAGCAGTAGGTATTGATACATGATTATAAAACAATACATCGATGATAAATTCATAACAATCCACTCTATAATTTATTCCACACAAACGTCGAAAGTGCAAGAGGTCATATTATAACACAATTTATACTATGCTATTAAGTATTATTTACCTAAAACTTACATGGGCCTTGAAAAATGTTACCAAATTGAGGATTGTTATCTACTGTGTAAGATCGTGTTTTCATATTAAATATTCCAAACCAAACGTGAAAGCTATGTAAATATATATTGATTTTTATTCGATCAAATTACTAAAGAAAAGTAAATATATAATGAAAAAATTATAGATATACAATGCACACGAATATTACAGTTTGTATTGCTTTATAAATACGATTAAACATTATATTATAGTCTGCCAGTCTGAAGCTTTCAATTGCTGTAGGTAGTTATAAGCTAAAGTCTATAAAGCTACATTAAAAATAAACAAGTAAATACTATCTTAATTGTGGTACCTTTCAAACACTTGTTTGGTTGATGTTCACTTAATACCTATATGATACGTCTTAATATAAAACATTTTTGGATCCATACACTACTAAATCTCCTATGATTTAAATGTTAATACTTCACATCCCTTTCGAAACATATAAGTATTTATAAATGTCAAATAATGTTGAATTATTTAAATATTAAAGATGAATTGTGTGATAGTATCACATAATAGTATAAACAATTAACAATATTATTTTGAATTACTTTTATTCAAATATAAAACTTGATTAACTATTCGTCTATTACCTATAAATATAAGTTAACGCCTAATAATACTTATATATACGAAACACGTGACATATGTTCACTGCAGAGTTACATTTTTAGTACAGTGAAATGGTTATCATTTCCCGTCACCGACATAGACTTCAATACAATATAATACGAGTACTGTTTGTAGATTACTCATTCGGCATCGGGATATTTGCGTATAATTATGATGTAACTATTGCAAGCATACTGAATCAGCTATTGTTTAAAACCATGTTTCACAATACATTTAAAATTTTAAATGAATAAAATAATCTGTTAAAACATTATGGAACTCTGATATCATTGGAAAAGCCGGGTAAACGACAATACGACTCTTAATGTGTACACTCTATAAAAAGTCTTTATACAAAGTA